CACTTTTGGAATTTGAGCTGTTGGAGAAAGTATTATAGACCAACTTAGTTTATCTAGGAGGCCCCACCTTGTATACAATGGTGTTTTTGACATGTGTTTGAACCATCAACAAGTTCCTAGTAATCAAACAAACATGTTGGAAACTATTTGGGTGTGATCAGGGGGACACAATGGTGATATGGCTGATGAGAAATTCATAGTACTATGATAGGGATACAATGGGGATATAATGGGTAATTAGTGGGTAATGGAAATTAATATATATATATATATATATTATATATAGGATCATAAGAAACCTATGAAGTAATAGCTGGTGATTGAGCCACCGGTGAAACATATGATAGGACCTGATAGGGAATCATCATCTCAGGTAAGATGTGAAACTGTCAATAATCTGGGTAAATTATAATATTTCACTAACCTGAATTTTGCGGCCATATGGGGATGATTTCCCTAAATTAACAATGATTCCAGGGTTCGGTCGCATTGAGGTCTTTGATTTACCCCGAATAATGTCTACATCCACAATACTGCAATCAACTGGTTTGTAAACCAATCCAACTGCAGACATATCCAACCTAAATCGCCAATAGATCGTTTACCCGCTGGTAAACATACAGAACACGTTGGCACATCACCATTTTATAGCTGGGTAAATCCACTATTTCTACGGCAATTTTCAAGTTCGCAAACTGTATGTTTACCGGAGGGTATATCATGTTCTTGTTGTTTTAACAGGAACATCCATAGTTTTTCTGAGACATCGATGGGTTTCCTGCCTACAAAAGTCGGTTTGTTTTTAGGCAGTTGACTCTTCCACGATCCGATGAGGTTTGCCATACCAATTACCCAGATTAGCTCACCATGGTGCTGGAATATTTACCTACAGTTGGGCCATAAAGCTTGGGTAAATGTAGGTACATATTCCAGCACCATGGTGAGCTAATCTGGGTTATGTGTTAGCTTTGCAAGTTTATCGCTGACATCATCCAAAACCACTGACCAGCCAGATAAGTCAGATATCAGTTTCCTTGAACCGCAGGGAGTTCGAATTAATGTGGCAAACCCAATTTCACAAACCATCCCTAAATGGTAGGTTTATTGCATTGGGGCGCTAATTTCCTATCATAAAACATTATTGGGTTGCTGATTTCCTGGATTTCCTATCATGTGGTTGGGAAACTCTTAGTAAGTCTTAGTAGCTCCTTAACTCCCCAATGGGGAATATGGGGACCCCTACCTCTATTCACCAGTGGATAGTGACTATGAAATCCCTACTAAATCCTGCTAAGTCCTATGACGTTCCATTGAAAAATCCATAAACTCTCAGTAAAATCAACCATCATCATACAACAAAATACCATTGAGTTCAGTTAACCACTGGATACCCACTGGTAAACATACAAAAAGCTATGGAAAATCACAACTTTTCATGGGAAAAATCATTATTACCAGAGGGTAAGTGGGTTTATAACCCCATTTAACCAACATCCATCAATCCAAGAACTTTTGTAGTGAACCAAACCAACCGAACAAACAGCGCTGCGCCCAGCGCCTATAGGAATGGTATTGGATCTGCGTCCTCATCGTCTCAGCGCAGCCACTGCAGAGGCACATATGCCTGGCGATGTAACGTTGGGGAAATCCATTGGGAGCCAGGGAAACCCTGGCTGATTTAATGGTGATTTACTGGTATTTCAATGGCAATTTAATGGCAATTTCATGGTATTTCAATTGGATTTCATTGCGAATTTTCATGGCATTGAATGGCAAGTTCATGGGATAATTCACGGAATTCAGGCAATTGAAAATCCATTGTAAATGAAGATGTTCATCGGAAAGTCAACCATTCATGGGGATATCTTCCATTGCCTTGATTGAGTACCAGGCATTCCTCACTTGTTCACAACTGATGGATCACACAATCAGCAGGTGATCGGGCCCATGCAAAACATTCCTACCCGGCCTGGTAAACGTTTACAGTTTGCGAACTTGAAAATGGCCATAGAAATAGTGGATTGACCCAGCTATAAAATGGTGGATCTTTCCATAGTAAACTGCAAGTGTTTACCAGAGGGTATATGCGAACCATGGTGCTGGTATGTTAGAAAACTGGGTGATTTTGGGCAGCCGGGCAGTTCTGCTGGTTCTGAAATATTCCAGCACCATGGTCTTCGCTAATATGGGATTGGTAACTCGTAACGCTGGATCCTCATGGAGCATGTTGCTCAACCCAAAAAATCAAAGGATTCTGACAAGGTAACTTCAGGTACAAGGTGGTGCCCCAGTTCGTTAGCTAAGTTGGTGACAATAAGCCAATAACTAGGAGTGATTAGGGGGTTATATCTATAGTTAATGGGGACTATAAACCAACTTATAACTGGGGGGGCACCACCTTGTACCTGAAATAGAAGTACTAATCAACATACGATCTGTGGCCTATGTCGGGGGACATCCAAAAACAATCGCCTTACCCTCTGGTAATTTTTAGAGTATGCATGAAAGCTCACCCACCATTAAAAAAAAACGGTAAAACATCATAAAACATGGAACAGAATGGGCCATGGCTTCCAGTTTCCCTACAGATTCCCCAAGAAGCGGATTTCCTATTTGAAAGAAAAAAACATCTACTCAGCAGTTCCAGGTGAATTATTACAGGGATCCTACAGGTAGTAATTCCCATTGACTCAGAGAAAAATCGCACGGATGTGCATCCCAATTACGATCCATGGTTTATGATTTATAATCCATATACAACTGGGGATATCCCATTCTAAATAACTGCGGTATTTCATATGGTATATATATGTATTGTATTGATACATGGTGAAATCTATCCACTTCGTTGGAACTGCCAGGTAGCTGCTTCAACATTGGCGTTCATTCTCCGGGGGCACAGCATTTTCTTTCAAGCCGGGATGGCATCAGAGGGATGTTCCTTTGTGCGGATCGACAGCTTCGTTTGGGCTCCCGTTTTGTGTCCCAGTGGCGGGATTGACATATGTTGCACTCATGGCCCTGAAAACAGTTTTGGTCATCGATGTGTAACTCCTGCAACTGATTGTTATATATATATGTGTGTGTTTATACACGTATATATATGTATGTTGTCACTTAAATGAGGTGAGAAGCCATTTGTCAATGTTTTTTTTGGCAATCAACAAAACGAAATCTAATTGCCATCCACAACAACTGTAGATATCATCTCTCATCTGCCAAGATAGTGCACTTCACCTTCGGTGAAGCTTGCTTTGACAACGCTGGCGTCGAAGCTAGTCACTTTGGCTGTTGCTTTGGTCGTCGACATGGTCAAAGACCAAGACTGGACGTCCAGCTATAAAAATCTCTGGAGGTTTCCATGAATAGGGGGTACCCCAATAGCTGGATGGTTTATAAGGGAAACTTCTATCAAACTGGATGATTTACGGGTACCCCTATTTCAGGAAACCCTCATCTGCACAAATTTTCAATGGCTCAAATGGGCACCCTCTAGTAGTCCAACCAGTTTTTTGTCATGGAAACCAAAGGTCAGTGGGCCATGCAGTTTACCCTCTGGTAATAACTAACATAGCTATTGAAAATGGCAATTTATAGAAGATTTACCCATTAAAAATGGTGATGTTCCATGGTTATGTTATGAATTACATGAATTACCAGAGGATATGGGTCAAAATGATGAACCCACAAGAAATTTGACCCATTCCCAATTGGTTTTCTCTGAAAATGGGGATGCACCATGCACCATTCCATGTTTTCTTTGTTTTCGAATTATTCTTCACTTGGGGGTTTCCTAAAATTGGGGGTGCCCCTAAATCATCAATTTTATATAATGAGATCTTCCCTTATAGACCATCTATTTTTGGGTATCCCCCATTGATGGATTTCCCCCTACACATATGTGCCATGGTCAAGCTACATGGGCAAATCTGGGGCCGTCATCCCATGCCATGTTTTTTTTTCTAACAGTATATACCCTCTGGTAAACTAACAGTTTGCTATTGAAAATGGCCATAGAAATAGTGGATTTACCCATGAACAATTGTGAGTTTCCATAGTTTTCTGTATGTTTACCAGAGGGTATCTTTCCCGAACTGAAAATTGAGTGGTGACCATCCCCCAAGGCATGAGTGTTTTCCTCTGAAAAATGATGGAGTTCGTCAGTTGGGATCATGAAATTCCCAATATATGGAAAAGTAAAAAATGTTCCAAACCACCAACCAGACTAGCTTGATGGTGGCACATTTGATGGGTATAGATTCCGCATTCTTGCCCCATCCCTAATGGCTTTCTCGCTTTCTCTTGGTGGTGTGTCCATTTCTATGCCGGAATTATCCTATTCAAACGTAGCAATCAACAAAAACATCTATTTATAGTGGAAGTCCCAGCGCACAAAGGCAATAGTATATAGTAAATATAAACTATTACACTATTAATCACTATATACTAATACTATTAATACTATTATCACTAATATAGTAAATGACTTCATGTTTTTTTTAGTCACCAAATTATAAGAGTCGGGCGGCATACCTTAAAAAATCTCCCGGATGGGATGAACTTCCAGAGTTTCCGAAGTCATGGGGGATCCGAAAAGGTCATGGTTTGCTGTTGTTTCAATACTGAAAAAATGTGTATTTTTATGGTTTGGTGTACCCCCATTCAAGAACAGGGGCTGGTAGATGTCCTACTTGAACATCACCCAATTATTGTACAGATACTTGAAGTATCCAACAGATACTTGCTTTCGTGATGTTCAAAATCTCCAAGCCACTGAAGAAACGCAAGGAAAAACTTACTTGTGCTTAGTAGGGAATGGATGGGTTGCTGGGGGAATGGGATGATTATTCATAGTTATATTGTGGATCATTCCCTCATTCCCTACAATGTGGTGCCCCTCAGTTATAAATTGGTTTATAATCCCCATTAACTATAGATAAAACCCCCTAATCAACCCAACAGTTATTGGACTTATTGGCACCAACTTAGCTAACGAACTGGGGGGCACCTCATTCCCTACTAAACACCAGTCAGAAAAAAACAACTCTACTCAGTGGTGGTGTAAGGCATTGTGCGCTTTGTCATCAAACGCTCCAAATCTTGCGCAGCGATGGTTTGGGACGCCTCCACATCCTCGGGAGACACAGATTTTGAGACCTTTCAACAGCAGGTATTCCATGTTCGATGCAATTATACGTGTATAATATGTTTATGCCTACAAAAGCATGCAACTGTCTATGTATATATATATATTATATAATATAGTTTACATTCTTGCGTATGAATTCATGTGTACACCCTCTGGTAATCGAACATGGCACTGGAAAATTTACAATTTATAGCTAATGTTCCCATTCAAACCCCCATTTAGTTCGGGTATTTTCCATTGCCATGTTTGATTCCTGAAGGTATACATACTGAAACCAAGTCATTTGAGCCATGATAGCCCTATCTGCTATACTAGTTGGTTGATCGTTTTCCATGGCTTAGTTCACAATCGCCAATAAGCTACAAGTAGGCTTTATAAATCCCATTATATAAGTATATATAGTTATATTTACTAGATAAAACACAATAATCTATATATATATATCTATCTATCTATCTAAATATATCATAGTGAAATTGGACTTATGTTCGCCAACTTAGCTATCAAACGGGGGCCCCACATTGTAGTAAAACTCCTTATTTTATAACCGCTTGGCCACGCGCTGCATCCCTGGCCTTGTTCATCTTGACCCGCCAAGTCCTCAACTCATCTTCACCCCGTGAATTCTGAGTACAGGATGGGGCCCCCCAGTTAAGTGTGTGGTTTAAAAAACAATTATGGATTTATGGGAAATCTATGGAAAATCTATGGGAAATATGGGAAAATGGTTAATAAACCCTTGAAAACTATAGTTAAACTATAGTTATATATCTGCCATAAACCATAGAATTCAACCACTTTTTTTTTGGCGAACGACAACGAGAACCCATCCTGTAATGCTTCACAGTTTTAGAGGGATGCTGCTTTTCTGCATCTGTTTTTGCGGGTTGATGAGTATCTGCAGTGACCGCAACATCCAAGGTTGATCCACATGAGGCTTGACTTGCAGCTGGCTATAGTGGCTAAAATCATGCAGCTTGTGCATATAGATTCCAACACAGTTATGGCCCAACTAACATGTTTTTTCCCCACCTGCCAGGTGAGGGTTGTTAGATTTTATGTAAGTTGCCTCCTCCTGCCTCGTCCTCCTCCTCCTCCTCTCCTCCTCGTCCTCCTCGTCCTCCTTGTCATCCTCGTCGTCCTTGTCGTCCTCGTCGTCCTCGTCGTCCTCGTCGTCCTCGTCCAACTGCGACCCGCGATCCGTGTTCTCTGCCGGACCTCAACCACGACCATCCACGCCCAGTGTTCCCTGCCGGACCTCAACCACGACCATCCCCGCCCAGTGTTCCCTGCCGGACCTCAACCACGACCATCCACGCCCAGTGTTCCCTGCCGGACCTCAACCGCGAGTATCCACGCCAAGTGTTTCCTGCCGGACCTCATGAGATATGCCAGATAGAATGCCAGAAGATATGCCAGATGGAATGTCAGATAGAATGACACAAGATATGCCAGATAGAATCCCAGAAGATTTGCCAGATAATATGCCAGAAGATATGCCAGATAGAATGCCAGAAGATATGCCAGAACATATGCCAGAAGATATGCCAGATAGAATCACAGAAGATTTGCCAGATAATATGCCAGAAGATATGCCAGATAGAATGCCAGAAGATATGCCAGAAGATATGCCAGAAGATATACCAGAAGATATGCCAGATAGAATGCCAGAAGATATGTCAGAATATTTGCCAGAAGATATGCCAGATAGAATGCCAGAAGATATGTCAGATAGAATGCCAGAAGATATGCCAGATAGAATGCCAGAAGATTTGCCAGATAGAATGCCAGAAGATATGTCAGATAGAATGCCAGAAGATTTGCCAGTAAGAAAATGTAAAAATGTCACGGTGGGGATCACACGAAGTAAAGTATTTTTTTTATGGACGTACAACTCCTATAACTCAGGTTATATATAATTATATATATATACACATCATTATAAACCCATTTATATCATTACAAACCCATCAAAATAACTGTTAGTTGGGCCATAACTGCATCAAGAAATATCAGCAGAAAAAAAGAGATGACTGCGATGAGTGAGTTGCTGTGATGCCTGCGATGCACCTGACGATTCATACATAGTGGGGTTCCCAAACTATAAGTGGGTTTATAACCCCATGAACCGTAGATAAATGTACAGTAGATAACTGGTTGGTGGTATACCTACCCCTCTGAAAAATATGAGTTCGTCAGTTGGGATTATGAAATTTCCAACTGAATGGAAAGTCATAAAATTCTATGGTTCCAAACCACCAACCAGCATTTATATATAGATGATTTAGCTATATTCATGTCAATGAATGGCAATTTTCAATAGCAAACTGTAACAAATTACCAGAGGGTAGGTAGTCCATCAATATCCCATTAAATCCCATTAAATCACCATAAATCCAGGCAGTTCATCAATATCATCATACCCCACCACCAACCAGATGACAATATATCTACCATAAACCCTGGCTATTCACCAACTTAGCCAACTCTCGGACCCCTTGAAACGAACGACATGTTGACCCGGCCCCTTCAACAACCCACAAAAGGGGATGATTTTAATGGGATTTTAATGGGATTTCCATGGTTAATAATGGTTAATCATGGTTAATGATGGTTAATCATGGTTAATGATGGTTAGTCATGGTCTGGTTGGTGGTGCGTTTCAACCATCTTGAAAAAATGATGGAGTTCGTCAATGGGAACGGTGACATCCCATATATGAAATGGAAAATAAAAAAATGTTTGAAACCACCAACCAGTAATGCTAATACCCCCAAATTACAGAAGCCAATAATGAAGTGATGAATGTTGGTATGGGTGTAAAAAATTGCTGCCATATTTGTGGTTTACACAGTTTAAACCCCATTTGCCCCAGATTACTGTAAGCCACTGGTCAGCCCGAATTATGAAGCAAAATAACCAACATCTGGCCCCCAACATAATTTTGTCTTCTCTCTTGTAATTTGTAACAGTTTGCCCTGAAAAATAATCATGTCTTCTACAAAGGTAAATCATCGCACTAAATGTGACATTGAATTTTCCAGTACGCAAACTGTTACACATTTCCACAGGGTAAAACTATTACCATTCCAACAGGATTTTATTTTTTCCATGGCAAATCTTAGATACCTGCCAAAAAACTATTATTTAGCTGGTAAATCAGCAGAACTAAGTCGTGGGTCGACATGCAAGCGGTTTAGATTGGTAATGGTTTTTCAAGAGAGAAAAACAAAAACAGGAAATGAACAAAAATGAAAAGAAATGAAAATAAATAAGAAGAAATGAAAATAATCGAAATAAATGAAAATACAGTAAATGAAAATAAATAGCACATTAGAAGGCACCAGGAAATGAAATAAACCATGAATGAAAACAATAAAACACACAATGAAAGATAAAAACATGTGAACATTGGAGGCCACCATATTCCAAACATGAACTGGGTAGCGGTGATTGAGTAGAAACCCCTAGGGAAAAATGGCAAAACCGCTCCAGACCGTTCAACATGAACTATAAACACGTGAAAACGACATGAACCATAAACATGTGAAAAAAATGTCACTACAGATCACTACAGCATGATTTCTGGGAACAATTTTCAAAACATGAATTGCATAGCGGTGATTGGGTACAAATTGCAAAACGGTGACATGTTTTTTCTTTTCTTTTGGTGCATTTTTTTCCTTAATTGTTGTTCTTTTCTTTTTTCACTTTTTTGTATATTTTTTTTCGTTGTTTTCCCTTTTTTTTTTTCTTTTTTCCTCACCTGCCAGGTGAGGGTTGTTAGATTTTATCAGGGCTGTTCTTCCGCCTCCTCCTCCTCCTTCTTCTCCTCCACCACCTCTGCATCCACTCCCATGTTCACTTCCGCCTTGCCAACTCTTCGCCAAGCTCTTCGCCAACTTCCGCACGCAGTGGGCACTGCTGGACCTCAACTGCAAGGGTCTGAGCGCACTGGGCACCGCTGGACCTCAAGCTGGGACCTTCCGAGCTCAGTGAGCACCGCTGGACCTCAACCTGGGACCGTCCGAGCTCAGTGAGCACCGCTGGACCTCAACCTGGGACCCTCCGAGCTCAGTGAGCACCGCTGGACCTCAACCTGGGACCCTCCGAGCTCAGTGAGCACCGCTGGACCTCAACGGCCAGATAGAATGCCAGAAGATATGCCAGATAGAACGCCAGATAGAATGTCAGAAGATATGCCAGATAAAGTGCTAGATAAAGTGCCAGAATGTTTGCCAGATAGAATGCCAGAAGATATGCCAGATAGAATGCCAGAAGGTATGCCAGATAGAATGTCAGATAGAATGCCAGAATGTATGCCAGATAGAACGCCAGAATGTTTGCCAGATAGAATGTCAGATAGAATGTCAGAAGATATGCCAGAAGATATGCCAGATAGAGTGCCAGATATAATCCAGAAGATATGCCAGATAAAATGACTCGAAGATGTGCCAGATAGAATGCCAGAAGGTATGCCAGATAGAATGTCAGATAGAATGCCAGAAGGTATGCCAGATAGAACGCCAGAATGTTTGCCAGATAGAATGCCAGATAGAATGTCAGAAGATATGCCAGAAGATATGCCAGATAGAGTGCCAGAAGATGATATGCCAGAACATATTGCAGAAGATATGCCAGGTAGAATGCCAGATGATATGCCAGATAGAATGCCAGAAGATATGCCAGATAAAATGACAGAAGATATGTCAGATAGAATGCCAGAAGATTTGCCAGTAACAAAACGTATAGATGTCATGGTGGGGATAACTCGAAGTAAAGTATTTTTTCTTTTTCCCCACCTGCCAGGTGAGGGTTGTTAGGTTTTATCAGAGTTGTTCTTGGTCTTCTCCTCCTCGGCTAGCTGTCCTCCTTCTCCTCCTCCTTCTCCTCCTCCTTCTCCTCCTCCTTCTCCTCCTCCTCCAGTTTCTCCTCGACCATGTCTGCATCAACTTCCACCTCAACTTCCGCCATGCCAACTCTTCGCCAAGCTCTTTGCCAACCCTCTTCGCCGAGCTCTTTGCCAACTTCCCAGCTCAGTGTGCACCGCTGGACCTCAACCTGGGACCTGCCAGCTCAGTGTGCACCGCTGGACCTCAACCTGGGACCTTCCCAGCTCAGTGTGCACCGCTGGACCTCAACCTGGGACCTGCCCGGCTCAGTGTGCACCGCTGGACCTCAACCAGGGACCTTCCCAGCTCAGTGTGCACCGCTGGACCTCAACCTGGGACCTGCCCAGCTCAGTGTGCATCGCTGGACCTCAACGGCCAGATAGAATGCCAGAAGATATGCCAGATAGAATGTCAGATAGAATGCCAGAATATATACCAGACAGAATGCCAGAAGATATGCCAGATAGAACGCCAGATAGAATGTCAGAAGATATGCCAGATAAAGTGCTAGATAAAGTGCCAGAATGTTTGCCAGATAGAATGCCAGAAGATATGCTAGATAGAATGTCAGAAGATATGTCAGATAGAATGCCAGAAGATTTGCCAGTAAGAAAATCTATAAATGTCATGGTGGGGATCACACGAAGTAAAGTAATTTTTCTTTTTTCCCCACAGGTGAGGGTTGTTAGATTTTATCAGAGCTGTTCTTCCGCCTCCTCCTCCTCCTCCTGCTTCTCCTCCTCCGCCTCGTCCTCTTCCTCCTCCTCCAGTTTCTCCTCCACCACCTTTGCATCCACTCCCATGCGCACTTCCGCCTTGCCAACTCTTCGCCAAGCTCTTCGCCAACTTCCGCACGCAGTGGGCACTGCTGGACCTCAACTGCAAGGGTCTGAGCGCACTGGGCGCCGCTGGACCTCAACCTGGGACCTTCCGAGCTCAGTGAGCACCGCTGGACCTCAACCTGGGACCGTCCGAGCTCAGTGAGCACCGCTGGACCTCAACCCGGGACCCTCCGAGCTCAGTGAGCACCGCTGGACCTCAACCTGGGACCCTCTGAGCTCAGTGAGCACCGCTGGACCTCAACGGCCAGATAGAATGCCAGAAGATATGCCAGATAGAACGCCAGATAGAATGTCAGGAGATATGCCAGAAGATATGCTAGATGAAATGCCAGAATGTTTGCCAGATAGAATGCCAGAAGATATAACAGATAGAATGCCAGAAGGTACGACAGATAGAATGTCAGATAGAATACCAGAAGTATGCCAGATAAAGTGCCAGAATGTTTGCCAGATATAAGCCAGAAGATTTGCCAGATAGAATGCCAGATAGAATGTCAGAAGATATGCCAGAAGACATGCCAGATAGAATGCCAGAAGATATGGCAGAACATATGCCAGAAGATGTGCCAGGTAGAATGCCAGAAGATAGAATGCCAGAAGATATGCCAGATAGAATGCCAGAAGATATGCCAGATAAAATGCACTGAGATATGCCAGATAGAATGTCAGATAGAATGCCAGAAGATATGCCAAATAAAGTGCCAGAATGTTTGCCTGATAGAACGCCAGAAGATTTGCCAGATAGAATGCCAGATAGAATGTCAGAAGATATGCCAGAAGATATGCCAGATAGAGTGCCAGAAGATATGCCAGGTAGAATGCCAGATGATATGCCAGATAGAATGCCAGAAGATATGCCAGATAAAATGCCAGAAGATATGTCAGATAGAGTGCCAGAAGACAAAACGTATAGATGTCATGGTGGGAATAACTCGAAGTAAAGTATTTTTTATTTTTTGTTTCTCTTGGGTTTCGCGCCAGTGGGATAACCTGCATTTGGTTTTCAATTGAGAAAATGTTTCTTGCGGTCATTTTTTTGTTTTTCGCTTTGTTTCTTTTTTTTCTCTTTTTTGACGAAAAAACGTAAAATATGAAAAATAATGAAAGAATGTGTTGATTTTTTGAGAGAAAAAAGGAAATCATATACGTGCTGCAAGGGTGTTCCTGGCGCGATGTGCTGCGGAAAACTCTACGATTCTTTGCGCTTTGGTGGCATTTTGGATCCCAGAGTCTTGTGTGGTCAGTTGTGCGCTTTCATGTCAATTCCAGCGCTCACCCATGTCGTCTTCAGCCAATGGTCCTTTGGCCCGTACGGCCAAGCGTCATCGAGAAATCAACCCAATGATGGCAGGAATGAATCCTTTCCTTGCGTCCATGTTTGGTCCGGCCTTTGCATTGCTTGTCCCTACCCGTGCTGCTGATTTTGTTTTGATGAATCGATGAGGTACGTTGCTACACGTGACCAAAGACGACATTGGTTCCTGATGTGCCTTTTTTGTCAGTTGTTGTCAGACCGCGTGGCCAGCGTTGTCAAAACAAAATCAGTTTTGATAGGCTTCAGCCTGAACAGATTAAACAGGATGAAGTACAATCATTTGAATTCTATCTTTTTTATATGTAGATTTATTTTTTATGTATATTTATTTCTTTTTATGTGTATTTAGTTCTTTTTATGTATATTTGTTTCTTGTTATTTCCTTTTATTTCTTTTAAAATTTCTGCTTATTTATGCTTATGTTTATTTCTGTTTATTTCTTTTTATTTCTCTTTTCTGGCGAAAAAGGAATAAATATGATTTTAGATGTGTTTTTTTTTGATTTTCGGATCATCCAAACCATGTTGTAACTAACCTACTGCACCTGCACCACCACTTAGTCTTGCAGAGTAAAAGTACATTTTACATCATTTTACCATTCATAGCAACAAATACAATTAAATTGTACAAAAAAACGCTAAAGTATCCAACCAGTCATTTTAACATTCATAGCAAAAAAAACATACTGAACATACTAAAGATTACCAATAACCGGTATTTTAAGGAAAACTCTTGGTTGTTAAAATCAAATTAACTAACATTTGAGTATCTAGCCAGTCGATTGACCACGTATCCTTGTGGAAGTTGCCGCCAGGTATCTCTGTCTGCACGAAGGCCGACACCATTGCGTCCGTCCCGGCTACCGCGGTCCTGGCTTTGTCGATAGGTGGGCCCCTGTAATTGGGCGAGGCCGTTATGTTTGTTGCTTTATAAGCCATCGAACTCGTTCGATATTGATGATCTAGGCCCAATCAAAGCCAACGAGTTTTTCATGTTTTTTTTCTTCTCAACTTAGCTTGGCAGCCCCTCGTAGAAGCCTCTTTAGTTAGCTTTTGGCCATGGGATGTCCTACAAATGCCATGGGATATACCCTCTGGTTATGACATTCACAATTCGCCATGATTACTACGATAGCCCATAGAAATAGATGGTTTACCGAACTTAAAATGGTGGATCTTTCCATGGCGAACTGTTAAATGACCAGATGGTATAACTCTTAGGGCCTTTAACATGCTATGACTGTCGAAGAGAAAGGGATACGACATGGGTTTCTTCTATGGCTAAAAGGACCTTCAAATGCAAGATATTATTGGGACAAACGCATGTCCAAAGATGCCTATGGATTGATAACCCCAATGTATCAAAAAGGACCAGGGGAGCCTCCAAAATAAACAATCAACCAAACAAACTACGAGTACAGCCAGCCAACATTCATTTTGCAACTTCAATGGCTAAAAAACATGTTTTTTTGTGACTTGGAACTTAGCAACGGCCATTGCAGATTAGCTGCTGGAGGAATAAACTATTACTATCACCGAAAGTGGTTGATTCGCTATGATCCACAGGTGGTCCTCATTCCTGCAAAAACCAAAAACAACCATTCGAAGGAGTCATCAACATCAAAGTCGTAGCTACCCTCTGGTAATTTAACATAACATAGCTACTGAAAATGGTCATTTATAGTGGATTTACCCATTAAACATGGTGATTTCCCATGGTTTTTTGTATGTTTACCGGAGGGTAACATTGGTCTACATGCCAGCTACAAGCTCTGTCAATTTCTGTGTTCTGTCAAGATATTCTGCCGATCAGGATTGCATCTTCATCTTGTCAACAGGAGATGGCAGATCATCAGTTTCCCAGTTTACAAAAATCAATGGCCAGGCATCAGGAACCGATTGGTAGCCTCAATTGATATGGTGCTATTTAGGATCCTGATTTCCCATTGAAAAAACCATGCGCCCATTGTGCTCCACACAAAATATTTGCGCAAGTGACAGAGACTTTCGCGTCAAGAAGTCCGCGATCATGGCCACCAGAGCGCGAGGTGTCAGCAGGTCCTCGCGAATGTAGTCAAGCCTCGTGCTCATCGCACAGAATCTGACGACTGATGTGAAATAGCCTGCAAACAATATAACTGTGTAATTGGGTATACAGTATAAGCATAAATTAAGTAACATATGTATATATATATGTATATATATATATATATATATATATATTATACGTATACATTAAGGTATATATATATATATATAGTATATAAATGATCCTCATGTTTGGTTAAAGAAAAGACATGGTTCACATAGAGTTGAGGACACCAACGCACTTCAACGTGACATGGATGATGTATTTGAACTGCGGACTGCACGATCTGTACAGGACTATTTCCCCAATGCCATAAACCAGAGTACCACGAACTCACAAGAAGCTACTCCTTGGGATAATCATTGGCATAAAAAGAATATCATGGGAATATAATGGGATAACTAGCATTATTGGGTAACTAACAGTAAATTTCACTTTCCTATACTGTTTCACTTCGTATTTTTCTACCCGCGTTGTGCTTTTTGTGCAAAGCGCGCCGGTGGTTTCGATCTCCAGAATGCCACACATGAGTCACTTAGAACGTCATTCTGCTCTGGGACAAATTGAATGACTGGTTGGTGGTATACCTACCCCTCTGAAAAATGATGGAGTTCGTCAGTTGAGGTTTTTATTCCCAAAATATGGAACAATAAAAAATGTTCCAAACCACCAACCAGATGACAATTTTACAACATCCCTTAAGAAAGAACCCGAAAGAAGGCATTTGTTTTCATAAGGGCGACTGATCATAGTGCAGGGTATGGCAAACCTCTTGGAAGAGACAATGTACGGCCAACTTGCAATGCGAAAACAAAGAAAATCAACATGATTGCGCAACACTGTAAAACTAACATCTTCGAAGACATGTTTACAAAAAGTGCATTTGGACATTCAAAACATGTAAAAAAAAACAAGCACAAAGCAAAACATACAGTTATGGCCCAAAATACCGGTTATAAGTCAAGCAGTCACCCCATTTATGGATATAATGACAAACCCCATTTAGTCAGCCATACAATGACTGGTTTCTACTGGTTTCTACGGCACTGCAAACACTGCCCGCAGTGTGAACATTGTTAACCATAGCATTGCTGAATTGTTGGAAACTGGGGATCCAAGGAGTCCAGTTATAGTCCAAGGAGCAATGATTGCTGCATATTTTTCTGAAAAACCCACAGCAACAGGGCCCCCAGTAGCACCAGCATCAGCACAGCACGAAGGCCATATTCCATCCACATGAGGCGATAAAAATGCCATCGACCCTCATCACCTGAAACGACAACGCCACCCGCGGAAAGTAACGGCCATGGAAATAATGCCTGCCTGCAACTGCTTTGTAGTGAAGAAAATCACGAAGTTTATGCAGTTTACTGAGCCAAGAAACTAACTGTTATTTTTGTTGGACTATAACTGCAGAAAATGGATTCAATTTGGCACCAGAAACATTGGTATATAATGAGGACATAATGAAGAGATAAAGGTTTTTAGCTGGTTGCCATCGGGTTTTAGGATGTTTTAGGTTTACTATCCCGCGGCAGCAAACATGGCTGGGAAATCCCCGAACAAAATAATTCCATGGAGGATTTTCCAGCCAGCTGTGTCACTGATTCCCGGAAGGTAAGCAACAAAAACATACAACAAAAACAACTCAACGGATTTGAACAACAAACTTGGGAATTTAACAAATTTTGACCAACATACCTAGGGAATTAACGAAAAACATGCAGTTGAGTAATAAAAACAACTGGTGTCTGGATGCAACAAAATGAAAGGATTTCATCAGTAAACAAAGTGATACAACCTCTAAACTATCCGGCAACCGTATCGTCATCCGTCTGTCCTTTTTCCTCCTACTTTTCGGTTGCTGGAGGTAGACTGGAAACATGAACTATACCGGCGGTTCGGGGTATCTACCAGTAGTAGTGAGGGCATAATCCAAACACGCTATTGACATGACAATTTAATCATGGATATGACATGATTGGATGCAGCTACTATATGTAAGTATATACATGTACTCACACGCAAATCGTAACAATGTACATCTACAAGTATGCAAGTGTTATATACCCTGTGGCAATGTAAGCAGACCATGAACAATCACCCAATGGTAGATGAGTTGCCTACTAATCATGGTAATTTCCCCATGGCAAACTATTAGATTACCATAGGAAAATACACTGTATACATATATATATGTATACAGTACTTATGTATGCACTATATATATATAGTTGCTAGATATAGTTACTGGTCGGTGGTTTCAACCCACCCAAAAAATATTAGTCGACTTGGATCATCATCTCAAATAGCGTGGACAACGGGAACATGTTTGAAACCACCAACCAGATCAGATATACCACAATATACCATGGTTATGGAGTCATAAACCAACTTAGCTATCTAGGGGCACTCACTATGTATATACAATGTATACATGCACTGCACATATATTTGCATACATATATATATATAGTTTCTAAATGTAACCTATATGATATAGTAATATATCTCTACACACGCAATTATACATGTGTATATGTCTATATATGTATATATATATATGTATGTGTATATGTGATTATATATATATATATATGAATATATATATATATACGTATATATATATATATATTCAAATATGTATAAATGCATATACATATATGTATATATACATATTTGAATATATATATATATATATATATGTATATATATGAATATATATATATATATATGTATATATGTATGTATGTATGTATGTATGTATGTATGTATGTATGTATGTATGTATGTATGTATGTGTGTATGTATGTATGTATGTTTGTTTGTATGTATGTATGCATGCATGCATGTATGTAATTATTTATATATATATACATATTATGTAATGTGTAAATAATAATATGATGTCTACATATTTCTGAAATCATCATTGACATCCAGTCACCACTCTTGGTGGAGGTGATGCGATAACCCGTGTGCATTCCTACCGAGAGATAGAGCGTTGCAGCGACCACGGCCAAACCGATGAAGAGATCGCCTAAAAGTTGTTGAAAGACTGCCTCAGTTCAGGCCTTTAGGGGAAAAAATGGGATTTACCATCAGAAATTATATAAAATTATATAGTTTAAGAGTTTGCTATCGAAAAGCACTATTTTCAAAAGGTAAACAAAAACATCTATAATCTATAGAATCTATACATGGTCCATTTTCCGTAGCACATTGTGAAAAAAAAACAGAGGCTAACTGGCAAAGATGGGGCCTTTGGTGCGACATGTCAACAACATGTGGAATTTCTCACCGTACTTTCCCATACAAAGTCCTGGTTTGTGGTTTTAACCATCTTGAACAATATTTGTCAAATGGGATGATTATTCCCATATATTATGGAACATAAAAGTCATGTTTGAAACCACCAACCAGGTTGGGTTTCAGATCGCGTTTTTTTTTTGTTTTACCTCTGCAACTCTGCTCCCAAATCCTCCCCAGATCTCGGACAAAAACATGCGACTGTGCCGAATCGCTACAAGAAGTCTAATCAATTCTGTGCACACTCAACATGTGTAAATTAACAGAAACATTAGTGTAAATAACAGGGGTTGAGAAATGTCCTATAATTCTTCACATGACACAACAAAAAAAAGGATTCCATCTCCAACAAATACCTTTTCAAGTGATGTGAGCCAAATCTTCAAGCATTTTCTTTGATTTTCACCCTTCTCAGTCCCACTTGGCGCCGAGACACAAAAATCACCATGTAGATTGGAACCACTTGAAAGGTGGTAAGAATCAATAGCCAGCCACCAGCTTGATTCCCTGGGAACATCGCTTTCAAGTTCCTGGGTCAGGTCATTTCAGGCTTGTCAGGTCATAAAATCTCTGAAGATGTGCCAAGTTATTGGCTGAATCCAAGGTATGATGGCTTCGCCAAATGGCTTGCCCTGTAAATTAACATAGCTACTGGTCGTCTGCAAGCTGAACTTCAATGGCAGAGTTGCCCAAATCAGACTTTCAAGTGCCGAAATGGTTCGTTGTTCACCATAATAATGTGTTTTTTTCCATCATATATACACCATTTATATATGTATATATATATATATATTAACATATATTAACATATTATATATATATTTAGAATAATATAAATATATATATTCTAGCATGTATGTATATATATATATGTATATATGTATGTATCCTAGCATATACAACTGCAGTATTTTAGCTGGTAGTTTGACAAAGTGTGAAGAACCTTTTCAATACAGCAAAGAACATCAAGGAAACGCTTGCATGCATACACACACATACATATATACATATACATATTATATATATAAATATATTGTTAAAGCTATATATTGTATATATATATATACATTTTTATGATTATAGAGAAGATTTTCAGGAATATGTTTAAATAGAAGAAGCATTTTGGCGGGGTGCGGCCAACAGCATTAAAAAAAAAAAATATTGCAGATTGCAAGACGTAGCTAAAATTACCAAAAATCCAACAATAAACCCCTCAACATTGGGACGATCTTTGCAATATCTTCTATTAAAAAATCCGTTTCAAAGAGAAGATATTGATCATACGGTATGATTCATACCAACCCCAATTCTCGAAACAAGATTGTGCGACAAACCATTTTTAAATAGAATATATTTGGTTGGATGATCCAGCGAGTTTGTGCTATTGGTGTTGGTCTAAATGGGTTTTAAATAGAAGATATTAGTTTGGACCCTCCCGGGACCACAGTGACGGCGAGTGCAAAAGTACCTCCAACATCCCAGATGTTCTACCATTTTCGGTCTGTGAATTAGTTTACCTTCTATATATTTAAAATTGCTTTTTTCCGCTCTTCCAAGCCAGTTTTATACAAATAGAAGATCGGCCCTCCGATAATTCCCGAATATCTTGTATAATCACGGGATTGACTATAAATGTAGTAAACTATATTATATTATATTAGAATAGGTTATATTATATTATATCATATTATATCGTAACATATCAAATTATATTCTAACATAAGATATACTATATTAAATCAAATCATATCACTACAAATAATAACATATTGTTTTGTATTACTATAACTATAATATATATATATATAGTCTCGGCATATTGATTTTTTAATATTCCCCATATTCCTTAGATCCTTGGTGCTTGTTCTTTCCCCGTTGTGACCCATGCCTAGTCGAACAAGCTTCAGGAGGGCTTCTGTCAAACCACTCGCCAAACCAAGAGCCGAGGCGATCAAATTCTGCCCAACCATCATCGATACCAAAACGCCCACAGCATACTCTGACTGCAAACCTTGCGCCGCGAAGGTTGCCGCGAAGTTCATGGGGCACGAACAAAGGGTGGCACTGCAAGATGCTGTTTCATAGTTGGCCAAGTGGTGTGAAAATAACGCCAATAACTAGGGTTTATGGTGTGTGTGTATATATATATATATACTAAGGTTCATCAACCAACATATATTTGGGGGGGCACCATCTTGTGGACACCATCAGGCAGTATTATAAGAAGGGCTAGCGAAGGTGCTGGAAAGCACTTGAATTCGATATTCGACTTGGGGGAATTCAACAAATGAGACGGGATGACAAAGCCTTGCTTGACAAGGCTAAAACGTAATTTTGATCGATAGCGAATTGGAACTACCCGGCCTGGTAAACATACAAAAAGCTATTGAACATGGTGATCGAAATAATTAGTGGATATACCCATGAAACAATGGTGATTTTCCATAGTTACGTTAGTTTTTACCAGCGGGTAGGAAATTTTCTTTGGCACCAGCCATTTTCGATGGCACCCGCAAGTGTTGGTGCTTCCGCCCCCTGTTTCACGGTCTATCCGGTCTACCCCCATTTGGCACCTCCAGTCTTGATAGAATCCACCATGCTCAACTTCCTATAAAACCATGTTCTTTGCTGAAAGTGTCACCACCTACCCTCAAGTAATCAAACATGTTCTCTGGTTGGCGGTTGAGCCCTACCCCTCTGAAAAATCATGGAGTTCGTCAGTTGGGATGATGACATTCCCAATATATGGAAAGTCATAAAATTCATGTTCCAAACCACCAACGAGTTCTCATTATATCCATCACATTTATCCTGATTGTATCCCTGTTGTATCCCCATATTTTATGATTAGATATTGCTTAAATATAATCCCAAAGAATATAGAAACGTGTTTCCAGAAAGGTAGTTCGATGAGGTTTACCTATTATCTTTGGGTGTCCAACTTGACTGGTCTATTTCTTCTCGGTGTGCTATAACCAACTATGACCAATAAAAAAAACAAAAAAACATGTTACAGGATGGTGCCCCCAAGATATGTGTGTTGGTTTATAAACCCAATTAACAAAAAATATATCTACCATAAAACATACAATTCAGCCACTTTTTTTTGGCAACTGAACGCGAGCTCCAACGGGGGCACCATCCTGTACAGCAACTTGCCCATTCCAAGACGCTGGCCCAAGTGATGGTCTCAGAGAAGGACATGGTGGTCAAACGCTGCGCTATCTGCATCGATTTGATGATATCGGCCTGCGCAATCTGGTGAAATGTCGTGAAATCATGCATGGAACCGGGATCACCTTAAGGTGTTTTTTGTGGGTTCCCCACTCATATAACGTTGCTATCCCATATCGCAATGTTTGGATATGACAGTGCAACTTAGTGTACCCTCTAGTAATTTAAGAGTTTGCTATTGAAAATTGCTGTTTATAGTTGATTTACCTATTAAACATGATGACTTTCGATAGCTATATTAGTTTGCCAGAGGGTAAAGAGGGTATATGATATTGCTTGACTATTTAGCATGGAATAGGGAACACTTTGGAGTGTGGGGAAATCACTGGCTCAATCACGGCATTGATTTGCTAGTCTGAAAACTACAAAACGTCAATGGTCCCGCTCTGACCCTTTTAAACTCGGAAGCATTTGTAATCTTTTAGCACAAATCCCAATCCCCCTAATATCAAACAACCCCAATGTAAACTTTTTTCTTGTTCTGGGGGCAAAAAACACATATTCTGGGACAGCATGCTGCATGGGGGTGTAACTAATATGAACGGGGGATGGGTTTATTCACATAATATTCCAAGGATCAACCAACGAAAATGATGCTGCCCATCTGCCTGAATTTCATCATAGTAAAAAAACGGTGCGGTACCTGCACATTTAAAAGGAAAAAAACAATCCAATAGTTCATCCTGATGAGTCTTATTCAAATCATGAAACTCACCATAAAGTTTCTGGTATTTACAGTATACCGCGGTGTGAGATAAATCCAATTTCAGCCATCATCCGCTTGATGACGTCGTGGAAACTGCCATGGTCACACCTCTGACATGGTGGCATAATCTGCTGGCACAGAAGGAGTTGATGCACGTAGGCCTGTGGACGAAAAAATCGAACCTTTTTTCTGTGCCCACTTGGAACCAACATTGCACATTTTCTCGCAAAGTTTGGACATGTTGAAATGCGCGCAATGCGCATGATATTCGAACTCATTCTCCACAGGGTTCTCCGTCGAATACTTTGGTGCAAGAAAAAATCATGGCTCATGACTCACAATAATCTGGTTGGTGGTTGAGCCCTACCCCTCTGAAAAATGATGGAGTTCGTCAGTTGGGATGATGAAATTCCCAATATATGGAACATTACCAGAGGGTATTTCCTATTAATACCTCCATTTTGGTTGGTGAATATCCTATGAATCACCATGAATCACCATTATCAACCACCAACCACCAACCAGTAATCCTCGAGTTCATAGTGGGGCCTCCAAGTTGGTTCAACCCGTCTCGTTCGATCTATCCCCCTACCCCATGAGTCAAGATTGTTAGCCACCCACCGGTGTGTGCAGAATGGGACCCAATGAGTTGTATATATTATACGTGTATATATATATATAGATATATAGATTACTTAGACGTGAAAATATATACTGACTGTTTTTACTACTCATTGTATTTGTAGTTGTTAGTGTATCTATGATGTGTATACGTATACGTATTTGCATATGAATTATATCTATATGTACATGTACGTATATTGCAAATATAATCATATACATATATTGTAAGCGTATCCCCATATCTACAGTTATGGCCCAACTAACAGTTATAAATGGACATATAACTCCTATAATTCAGGTTATATCATGAAATAAACCCATCAAACCAAATGTTCATCTACATGATTTTCCCATTAACACTGCATTTATAGGGGATGTCTTATGATTTTCCAATGATTTTCCTCAAGTTATAGGGCCATAACTGTAGTGGTTCAACGCCCCGGTTGATGATGACCCACAGCTTGAAGGTCAGCCACGTGACTTGCAGCGCTGTAGGTACGACTCGCGGAATCTGCATCACAGTTCTCAAAAACCTGTGACTAGAACAACTTACAAAGAAAGGATCGGAAAAACACAGTTGTGGCCCAACTCACAGTTTTTTTTGATGGGTTTATTAATAATGATAGAGTTTACCTGAGTCATAGGAGTTATGCAGGTATAAATAAAAATAACTGTTAGTTGGGCCATAACTGCAGGAAATGGAGGCAACAAAGCATCAAAACGGAGGGGACATGGACGTTTCACTCAGAGAAATAGGGATCTATAGCCGATTTATGATGTTTTTGGGTTAGTTCATTACAAGAACTGTTGAATTTACTTTTCGGATATATCGAACTAGCTCAATGGGGTTATACGATTGAAAAAAAAACTTTACTTTGTGTGATCCCCACCATGACATTTATGAATTTTCTTACTGGCAAATCTTCTGGCATTCTATCTGACATATCTTCTGGCATTCTAGCTGGCATATCTTCTGGCATATCTTCTGGCCTTCTATCTGGCAAATCTTCAGGCATTCTATCTGGCATGTCTTCTGGCATTCTATCTGACATATCTTCTGGCATTCTATCTGGCATATGTTCTGGCATATCTTCTGGCATATCTTCTGGCATTCTATCTGGCATTCTATCTGACATATCTTCTGGCATTCCATCTGACATTCCATCTGGCATATCTTCTGGCATTCTATCTGGCCGTTGAGGTCCGGCAGTGCCCACTGGGATCTGGAGCTCGTGGTTGAGGTCCGGCAGTGCCCACTGGGATCTGGAGCTCGCGGTTGAGGTCCGGCAGTGCCCACTGGAGGAGAAGAGCTCTGTTAAAATCTAGCAACCCTCACCTGGCAGGTGGGGAATAATGTTTTTGGGGGCCACTATGATAATGGGCCGAGGATCATCCATGGTAACCCCCAGCGAACTTCCGTTGTTTACTATTGGATTCTCTTAAAAAACAAATACTTAATATTCAAAACATGATTAACAGTGTTAATAGTTAATATTGTTACTATAATGATTAACTTTTTGGATGGATGGTGATATGAATGAATTCAAAACTGCTATAATATTTGGGGATATGTGGTGAGGCAATGTCGATGAACACTTCACCAACTGTTGTGATATCATGTGGAGAGCTGCTTGTCGATGAACACTTCACCAACTGTTGGGATACCATGTGGATATAATGGGGGGCAATGAAATTGTAAGATTTGATGGATACAGTTTACATCATGTTACCATCAAAATGATTGGCTGACAGTGATTTAATCATCAAAACATATGATATAATGGGGATATAAAAAAGGGGAAGCAGGAAAGAATGGTGATATGATAGGGATATTGATATAAGGATTGATTGGTAATTTGATTCATCATGGTATAATCGGGACCGGGATGTGTATATGTAAATAACTATATAATACTATATATATAATATAATATTATATATATATATATTAATATAAAAATGGTAATGGGCACATAATATGCACATTATGGGTATATACTGGTGATATAACTTGGATACAATTATAGGGCTATTTTTAGGCTTTCAGTTGGTTGTAACCCTCTGGTAATCAACCACGGCTGGAAAATCACCATTCAGCTGAAAAAACTGACTGAACTGAAACCAAACTTGGGCAAAACTCGGTAAACCATCTTGGGCTGAATGATTCTTGCAGTTTCGAAAAATGGTGCAACCAATTCCAAAGCACCCGTGCTGTTACTCAGTTGTTGAAGTCATCTGTCTTGACTGACCGTAAATACCGAAGTGTCACCTGCTGTTCTTGATGGGATCTCAATTCCCCCGTGGCCAGCATCATGGGACTTCCAGGTAAACCATCCCCAATTGTGGATGCTTTGTTGGATTCAGCTTACCACATCTTACCACAAAACAAAAATCGCACATAAAAATCGTATTAGTTAGATCACCCATCATATCACCCATCTGCTGGCGGTTGTATTAGTTATCAATATCATATGTTTGATCACCATATATCACCATACATCACCATATATCACCATATATCACCATATATCCATGTCTTGTTGCTTTGAATCCCCCATCTTCTCAATCGCGTGGACAAATCTCCCCCCCTCCATCCCCAGCCCCGCAGCTCCGCAGCTCCGCAGGTGTGGAGATTTTTTTCTCGGTGTGTTCACTGGCAAATCATCCGTTTCCATCTGCAGTTTGATGCTTTAAACCCCAAGTTCAATCAATGGGAATAAAAAAGGATCCAATTGATGGAGGTACGTAAACTTACCATATTTCTGGCCATATTTTGTGGGGATATTCCCTGAAATTTAGGCCTGAAAAATAGGCCTTATATATGGTAGGTACCTCCAATCTAGGATCCTGAAAAGGCCATTGATTCAATGAATTTTCTAACCACAACTGCCCCCCACCCAATATATCCATATCATCTTCGAACCGTTGTCCCCTCCCATTCTTTTCCCATTCAGAAACCCATCAGATTCCAGGTTTTTAAATGTCTTTAAGCACAACTGCAGCCCCAAGTACCCTCTGGCAACTAACATAGCTATGGAACATCACCTTGTTTAGTAGGCAAATCTTCGAACTAAATGGGCCATGGCTTCCATAGCTATGTCAGTTTATTGGAGGGTAACCCCGCCTGTAGGACTTTCTGTTTCATCTGAGGGTTTTGGCTGAGCGTCAGATGGAGGCAGCCCATCAAGCACTGCGCAGTTTGCTGACTGGAAACCTGCATGGCAGGATTGTTTTAACCATGCAATGGTGGGTTTACACCAATCAGAATGATAGCATGTGTAAATATATGTATATATCAAAATAAATATACATATACACACTAATATATATATATATACACACTAATATATACAGAATATATGCAGTATAATATATATATATATATACTGAAGCATGGTATACCATACAGCATAGCAACATGTGGGTTCATTCTTGGGGTATATCTTCGTAAATCTTCCGTGGAGCCATCTTCAGTGCGATCCGTGAGATGATCCAACAAGATTGGTAACTACAATGTTGTTGTTCAGGGATTTGGCTACAGTTATGGCCCAACTAACAGTTATATGTTCATGGGTTTATTTCATCATATATATAACCATATTTTTTGGAGTTATATAACTGCTTTCAGGGCCATAACTATATGAGTGAGCATGACAAAAACGGATTTCAAATTTGTCGATCCAGAACAGTCACCAGTCACAGTCACAAAACTCGCCTGGCCGCAGAGTTGGTCTCGGCAGCGATCTTCCACCAACCAAATGCAAGGAACGGATTGGTTGAAGAAACTCTCCTCCACAGTTGGTGCTGAGAAAATAGCCAGGATTATTCACAGCTTATTAATATGATAGCTGGCTATGTTGGTATAATTCACGATACAACAACTGTTGGGTTTATTTTTGGGATGTATCGAAGCAAAAAGACGGGGTTACATAAGCCAACAAACATAAGGTCTGGGGAGGCCCACTATGAGAATGAGCTGAGGATAATCCATGGAAACCCCCAGCGAACTTACGTTTTTGAATTTGGGGATGATCTTCCAAAAAACACAGGGGTGTGACTCACGTGTATGCTGGTTGATTCGTAATTCATCATGCTATACCAACATTATGGGATACGTGGTGATATGTTAGGCCCCCGAAGGAGAGCGCTGTTGGGTAACCAGGGGAGATATATCGAACTAGCTACATGGGGGGTTAGAGTACCAACTTAATGTTGGTAAAACAATAATAAACAGTAATAAACCATCCCCAAAATGACCATAAATAGGTGGTATAGACAATTCCCAAATGGGTGGTTTACTATTGTTTTACCAACGTTATAACGTTTGGGGGTGCCACTTTGTAGCGAAGAGCAAGCCATCGTAACCCTGGTGAACTTCCGTTTCTGAAGTAAGGCCGGCTATTTTGTGGAAGGTGGGGCCCCAGAACGTTAGAACTTGGTTTGTAAACCCTGGTATAGTCTTATCTACTATACCATAATAATACTGGTTGGTGGTTTGAACCATCTTGAAAAATATTAGTCAGTTGAGATGATTATTCCATATATTATGAAAAAACAGGTTCCAAAACACCAACCAGAGTACCATAATGTACTATAATTATTGGACTTATGTTCACCAACTTAGCTATCCATTAAGGGGGCCCCGCATTGGAGGGATTATTCACCAGCGACCCGCGTTTTTCCAACGCGCTGCCCTACTGGCAGATCCATTGCCATGATCAAGGTGAAGTAATATCTTCTATCCATCTTCTATCCCCATGGGGATATGGGGATGCCAATTACCATTGGGATGGAATTGAATTACAAATAATGGGAATTGAAGTAATTCAATCCAATAATAATTACCACATCCAAAAAATTAATTCATTCACTCCATTCAAAAAATATAGGGATGCTTTCAAAAAAACTGATTCTATCTAGATTTTTTTTCTCCGTTAATGATCATCAAAATGATCATCTTTTCTGGATTACCATCTATTCTGGATTCCCCAGATGCTCCATGGTGCTGGAATATTTACCTACATTTAACTGGGTGATTTTGGACAAGGGCAGTTTTGTTGGTGTGCATATTCCAGCACCATGCTTCGCATATGATATCCCCGGGATGATTTATAAACAAATGCTTCCCATACAGCACCATGCTTCGCATACATGGAGCAGCACCATGCTTCGCATATGGATTCGAATTCTGATTCGAATACTGTCTGTTGATCCAAAGATCATCAGGGGAACTCAACTTGGGCCCTTGGTTTGATCCACCTTGATCCGGTTTTGAAAAGGGGCCTAACGCAGATTTTTCTGATGGAAAATGTATCCCATATTATCCCATATTAGTTCACCATGGTGCTGGTGTATAAAAACCTACAAAACTGACTGGGTGATTTTGGACAAGGGCAAATGTTGGTAAATATTCCGTACATGGAGCATATGGGTATTCCTGAAACATCCTGAAACATTTCTAAATTATATATATATATACATACATCGATTGTGGCTTCCCAGAATCCCTTATGAACTTTGGAACCATCATCAAAGCACCTTTCGTCTCTGAATTTCAAATTCAATGTGCCAACAAAATGGATCTAAACAACCTAAATATCATGAATAAATCACCATCAACTTAGAGATGGTTTGTGGTTTCGCTACTTTGATCTACGTTTCTCCAACCCGAAACCCGCCTGAACTCACCCGAACCCGAACCGCCTTTTCACCGCGACCAAGTCTCGTACCAATCACTGCCTTGGGAAAGGCACCAGTCGCGGTGCGAATCCAGAATTCCGCTCATGGATTCCTGGCAACCGATCCGCACACCCAAACTGTGAACATTGCTAATCTTAGATACCCTGCAAAAAAAAAGCTGGTTAGTAGATATTCCCATTAATACCAGAAGACTAAAGGGTTAAAGTATCCATGTAAGATTGACCTAGTGAACACGGCACCAGTGAACAACCCACGTGGTGAACAGTCGGATAATGAATGAAAACGATATTTTCTAAACACATATAAAAACCCGTGCCATCCCGTGCCAAATGGTTTCTGCTTGCATTGTTTTCTCAAGCAAAGCCACATCTTTATGAATTGATGTTGAAGTGTTGGACCAGCCATTTTTCTTGCGAAAAAATGGACCTAGCCATTCTTGTGTGTGTTGGGGAACTCATGAGCTAGGCACGAGCATTCATCCCAATAAAACAATCCCATCCAATCTGCACGAGTCAGATTTACAATGATTTACATTCCAACCACCACCAGTCCGAAAACACAAAAACAAACAAAAACATGGTACCGGAACCAAAATCCCCATCACAATTGCAATTCATTGGGGCCCATACGTCATTTTTGGACATCCTGATGGTATACTCGTGATCACCCTCAACCAGCCATTGCCTTGCTGTCTTAGTCTTAGCCCTCTTAGCCCTGCTGTCCATTTTTCCTGCCTCCAAGGCGTCGTTTCGCTGCAGGAAGTTCAAGCTGTACTGCAGCTGCGATCCGGGAAGAGCCAGGGTGGTCTTGATGGACTGCGCGCAGACCTGTCGCGAGTTCCGTGGTTTTGAAGTGCTGAGAACCACAGGTTCCAAAGGTTCCAAAGGTTTCAAAGTTCATGAGGGATTCTGGGAAAGCATATTCTGTATAATCTCTATTCCTGTTTCGGGAATACATGAAATACAGTTATGGCCCAAGTTAGAAACGGAAATATAACTCGTATAACTCAGGTTATATATCATGAAATAAAATGAAATAAACCCATAGAAATAACTGTTGAGGGGCATAACTGTAGATCCACTAGAAATGGTTGCGAAGTGAGTTATAAGCCATGAAATATACCGAGCAGTTATTAACCACTTTAGTGACTCTATGGCCTATCTAAGTAATCCTTTTCCAGAATGGTTGCAATGACAAACAATGACAAGACAACCATGCTTAAACACATGTTAATATTGCAAAACCCTTGTTGTCACTTAGATATAAGTGTAATCACATATCAACCACTGTGTAAAAAGGGTTCCCATGCTGGGTCTAATAATCCCTCGTTCAAGTTGAAACCGTACCTCATAGGAAGATGGTGCCTTCCACAGTCCGTGAAGCAGTTCGTGAAGACGTGAAGTCATTATATCCAGATATTATAGATTCTATCTAAGAATTCTTCGAATTATAACAGTTATCATATCTACAGATATAGACGAATATTATGTATATAGATATATCTATTTTAAAAACAAAATCCAATTTTACTACAATTTTAACAATCGATTGAAACCTCATGACGAAACACAATCCATCGACGCCAGGGAACATCTGCTGAGATCCCTTTCCAGTCTACGAAGGAGCGTAGTGGCAGCACCAGGAAAAGCCTTAAAGCAGCTGCGCATGGACCAATTTTTAACCCATGGACAAATGAAAGTTTACCATGAAACATCAGGTTTGTTCATGGAATATTTATCGAAAAATGATAGGTTTTTCCATTTTTAGCCCAGTGAACTCGCCGTTCAAGCGTGGAAAAATAGGGAATCAACCATTAAACATGAGGATTGTTCGTGGAATATTGATGGGACATGAACAGGATATAAAGTACATGAATGTACATGATATACATCGTGGGCCCTCAAATCTTGTTGTTTGGTTTATAACCCCATTTAACTATACATAGTTTGATATATCGGCCATGAACCCGACTTAGATATCGATTGGATTGGATTGGGTGTGCCTGAAGATAGGATAAATCCTGGATTTTGGACTATTCTAGCGGGGAAAAATGGTGATCAAAAACAATGAAACTTGGGAATATCCTGTTTTCAAACCTCAATTCAAGCCGGGTAAATTAGAACCCTAAGGAATTTCACCATGCCACTAACATCAGCAGAAATTGTCAAGGTACAGGAAGGGAGGTAGGAAACCGATGAGCCATGTGCACCAAACTGCACGTCTCGATGACCTGTGCGGCGAGCTTCAGTAAACATAAATAGCAATGGAAAGTCTCCATGCGCAAATGGAACATAATCAAACAACCTTAAATAGGGCACGTGTCTTCTATTATATGAAAAAATGTTTTTGTTTACTCAACCCAACTTAAGTAAGGGTGCACCTAAAAATACAAACAGAGTTGTAAGTTGTAACCTTATATCATAGGGGTCAACGGTTACGACCAACACGCAACTATGATTAGGTCACAAACCAGTTCCATGGGGGTTACAATCCAGTTACAAATCGTTAGTCACACGTGGCAGTGGAACATCCCCATGAAAATAGAAGGATTTCCGGAGGCTACTTAGATCGGCTATAAAGCTTACACCGATCCCAAAGTAGATGGCGCAACTCAAAAACCAAAATACCCAAAAGATGGGACCGCGCGGTGGGGAAAAAAACGGCGCTATTTTGGCTGGAATTTAAAACGAGTTGCGCCATCTATGTGGCTTGTGTCAAAGATCCAATTGAGGAAAAATCGCCCCAAAAGACCAATTTAGGTAGATGGATATAAGGGTGGTGCCAGGAGGGGACACACAACGGGGGGAGGCACAACGGGGGATCAAGGCAAGGGCGACTGATCAAGGCACAACGGGGAGCCCACGGGGAAGGGCATCCAGGCATGAGACTTTGGCGCAAGTCAGGAAAGGGCTTGATGATGAGGACAGGACAAAGTTCTGTTTGCCATCTATGTGGTTTGGAATCTGTTTCGAAACAGGCCTGATTCTTGGGGCATATTTCTGGCTCAGGATGAAAGGAGATGCGCCGTCTATGTGGCATATATTGGTTAGGTCGCTTGAGGGACGTCGGGACATATGAGGGACTTGCGCCATCTATGTGGGCATTCCCAGCCTGATTTTGGCGAATGAGTGGGACTTGCGCCATCTATGTCCCCGAAAGGCAGCTTGATGTTGAGGAAAAAATGTGGGTGCAACTCAGGGCAAAAAATTGCACAAAATATGTTTTTTTTAGGGACATACATGGCGCAAACTACCTGTTTGAAATGGAGTTGCGCCATCTATCCCCTGCATTTTGCCTTTGACATAGATGGCGCAAGTCAAGAAATTGAGCCATTTACTTTGAGACCGGAGTAGTTCACTGCTTAGGAACTGGGTTCGAAACCATGAAATACGCCCGGTTCTGTTCGGGATTTTTTACCCATGGCCCATCCAAGTGAATTCCCGTAAATCTGAATAAATTGTAAGCTGGTTGGTGGTTTCGACCCCTCTGAGAAATATTAGTCAGTGATTATTATTCCCAATATATGGAAAAATAAAATTCATGTTCCAAACCACCAACCAGATTTAAGGGATATTTTCACCCACCAACCCAGTAAGACATTCCAAAATCGCATTTTTTGGCCGTTGGGAATGATTCCCCGAAGAAGTTATCATTGGTGAGGTCGGGCAAGGAGGTCAATCAGTACATGATCAAGGATCATCTCGGGTACCTAAAATGGAGGGACTGTACCATATCAAGCCATACTTTGGTGATATATCACCTTACATAGACCCTGCATATGGTATGTACCTCCGTAGATACCTCAAATGGCCAGTGATACCGGGTCCTTCAAAAAAACAACCATCCTCCTACATGTTGTCACATCACACCTGATCCCCCCGCGCCCCCTTGATCAATGTTGCTGCCCAATGCATGCCGGCATCCGAACCGAAATGGTTTTTATTTTGAAGGCCTTTCCAAGCAAAGCGACGTAACAACATTGAATTGGGGGAAAGGGGGCACGCAAGTTTCTTCGCAATGAGTGTGACAGGATGGTTGTTTTTTCAAAGAACCCGGTATCATATCCCAATAAAAAAGGCCCATTATCCCACTACATCCAATAATGTCCTTTTGGTAAAAAATAGAGGGGCCGGTTTGATATACCATCTATCATCATTTACAAACCCCTCGATTAATCAACAAACCAATGGGAAAAGGACATCTATGACTACATCCCCAAAATCGATTCAGGGTTTGGTAAATGTCCTCATTTTTCCCACCGAACCGTTGGGGATTTTTCACCTCCAACGGATATGTTGTTCAAGTGATGTTCAAATTCCCCTCAGCAGAACATTTACCAACCTCACACAATGGGGCCTCCTTACTTATGATGTGGTTTATAACATTTTATAACACCATTGAACTAATTCAAACCCAACAATAAAGCAAATAGTTATTGTAGTGAACTGTTCACCAACAAACAACTATCGTTTACAGGGGGGGGCACCTTGTGGCTTGATATCCTCCCATTCATATCCCATGAAATGCCAATTTTGATGGTTAACCCCATATCTAATTATATGGTATATGTATATAGACATCATCTCATGGTACCACCTTGATCTTCATCATAGTTCATCAAATTCCATGGACCTCCCATTGAAACATTAAGTCACCATGAATTCCTATTTAAATTCATTAAATCACCATTAAGTGCGATATAAAATCATCCATTACCAATTCCACTTGTAGGCAATATTTTAGTCATGATCATATTCCAAGCTACAATAATTATATATTCCATTACCCTATTATGGTGATATTTCATGAAAAATCACAATGAACAATCCCATTAAATTCCAAGAAATTCCGATGACATCCCATTAAATCGCCACATTTCACATCGCTTGGCAAACACTAGCGCCCTGCGCCTGATGTTCATCATCGCCAGGTTTGGTGATGCCAAAACTCCTCCAATCAGAAGGCCTGCAGCATGGCACCAGCCCCGTTGGGACAGGACACCTAAAATTTGGTTGGTTGCTTCAATCAATAAACAAAAACGGATTTGAATAGATCAGCAAATGGGATTTAAGAACAATTTCATGGGATTTAATTTATTTAATTGCAATTTAATTGAGTTCTTCATGGAATGTCTATGGGATTTACCCTTCGGATCCCTCAAATGTGGCTGGCTGCCGTTGCTGCGGATGAGTGAACCCATCAAACCAACCGCCGTAGCGTTGCAGTATTTCCCTTTAGTACATGGGCTACAGTTACCCTTTGGTTATTTAACATAGCCATGGAAAATGACCAATTTTTTGATGGTTTACCTATTAAAAATGGGGATTTTCCATGGCTATGTATGTTAAATAACCAGATGGTATGTGGGAATAACAATTAGTAAAGGGACATAGGATAATTAATCCATAAATAATGGATATTTAATATGTATGTCCCATTACTTTGGAAATATCACGTGGATAATAATTTGGACTATAGATATTTCCCCAAACTATGATATCAAATCCAACAATGATCATTATATTTCCCATATCATGTGGATAATAGTTATACGTATGATTATAGGCCATTGTAATCCACCATAGTACTGCAAATAATGATATCATCCCACTGTAATAATTTGGATAGGCTAATTACAGGTATGGCCCATATGGCCATTGAAAGTTATGAGCATGGGATGAAATAACTCCTGTAACTAAGGTATGGCAACAAATATGTGTAAATCCCCGAAGAAAAATGGTGTCTGGGGGTGTTTAGGATCAAGGGATGGGATTACACTTGTTTGCTTGATCATATTATAAATGTGTTACCCTCTGGTAAACTAAGATAGCAATGGAAAATCACCATTTTCAATGGGAAAATCCACTATTTCTATGGTCATTTTCAATAGCTATGTTAAACTACCAGAGGGTATACCATCATTCAAACTTTGAATGACTAACAATCATTGACCAGCTTTTTTTTGAACAGTTCACAAGACTAACCATCATCTTGGACCAATCTTGGATTCCTTAAAAAGGGGCTCCAAAGAAATAACACATCTTACCTTTAGAGGTTTCAAATCATAGATTTTCTTGGTTGGTTTATAAGTCCAATAACTAGGATTGATTAGGAGGTTATATCTATAGAATCTATAGTTAATGGGGATTATAAACCAACAAACATAACTGGGGGGCACCACCTTGTAGCCAGCCAGGTTTGATTTCCCTTTATACCATCGGTCCGTTGGAGCAGTCCGTCGCCCTGTCATCAGAATCCCATGGCCTAAGACCAAGAGAAGCGCAACGATCCAAGCACCGAGATCGATGCCTGCGACGAGTTTGGGATCGAAGGGGATCGAAGGGGTCGGGGGAAATTAGGGAAATACCTAAAAATACCATCTGGTTATTCAACATAGCCATGGAAAATCCCTTATAAATGGAGGTTGTTATGGGAAAATCATCTATAAATGGGCCATTTTCCATGGCTATGTTAAATAACAAGAGGGAAATATACAGTATTATGGAAAAAAAATCTTTGTCCTATAGTGCCACCCACGTCTGCAAATCTGTTGGATCCACCCGGAGCGGCAGCATCAAAGAAAAAGAACCTTATACGCGTGCGCCATTTGGCGTCGCGCTGGCCAAACGCACTGCATCTGCTGGGGTGTCGGCCTGTCAGGCCCAGGCCAAGGCACCCCTGCACCCATCAAGTGTTGAAGCGCTTTGTGCACTTGACCTGGGCCATTGCAGCCCACTGCATCGAAGCTTTTCTGCCATTGCCGAGCTGCCCAAAATTCGTGAGGGGCTTGCATGCACTGCCATAGCCAGGCCAGAGGAGGCACTAAACCGTGCTCTGAATATGAGCGCAACTCCTGGTGCTTCCTTTTCAAATATTGTTTAAAAGGGGAGAAGCCTTGCAGATCAAGCGGCTGTAGGTAATCCGTTGTCTGCGCTGGGATATATATAAGCTGCAGCTTGCACTTGCGTGCCATTGCCATGACCTGCCGTGGCAGGTGTGCCGGCGCACAATCAAGGAGTACAACGCCTTGTTTTGACGGAAAACTTTTCAGCACTTCTGCGATCTCTTTGAGAATTTGGGCACTGTTGGCAGCAGAGGTCCAAGCGGACTTTTGCCGCAAAACACGCAAACGAGTTTGTGGCAAAGCGCGCTGGGCGCGCAAGAGCTTCTTCGTGAGTTTCACCTGGGTGCCAATGAAAAAATGAGGCAACTTCCCTTGGATGTGCTTGCAGTTGCAAATCACGCTGACATAAGTAAGTCCACGCACCTCGAACATGTTGCTTCAGCACCTGTGCATGCGGCTGTTTGCCACCTGCTGTCCGTGGCTTTGCCACACATCCAATAGGCGGTGTCATGGTGTGGCCGACGCTAGTCTCATCCAGATTTATAAAAAGTAGCTCCCTGTCTGCGAGCCTGCTGTGGCAATAGCAGATGGCCCGCCAAAATGTCATGACCTGCTCGAGCGTTGCAGGAAGTGAAAGACAAAGCCTTATTATATATAGGGTCCCCAAATATAATTCCGAGGGAAGAAATTGATTGAAAATGGGGGCCTATTTTTGGTGCCAGATTCTGGCCCCAAAAATGGGACCGCCCAACCGGGATTAAGTAGGCTTATACAGGCATGAAACATGAGGGGGACCCATTTTTGGGGCCACATTCCGGCCCCAAAAATGGAGCCACCCAACCCAAAAAAAGAAGACAAAATGTTGTAAGTTGGCTGGCCCGCGCCTTGTCGCGCAGTACAGCGGGGTCTCTGCTAACAACTTGCTTCAGCACCTTCCGGCGGACGCCCCACCGAGCCCGCCAGCGCTGCACCCACTTATTGACCATGCGTTTGTTTGGCACACCCATGTCCAGCTTCTGGCCATGGAAGGCCTCCTCCCACTTCAAAAACGTGTCCATCGCAGAAGGTGCTTGACAATGATTCGTATTGCAGTCATAGACCCACTGCTCCGTGGCTGCTTCGGCCAGGAAGGCTTGCGCTTTGCGTGAAGCTGTGTCATCCAAAGCGGTCAAATCTGGCAGCGGCGTCGTCAGCAACATCTCTTGGATCAAAGCTGCCGTGGGTACCCATTGCTGCCATAGGATATCGTTGTCAAAGCACAAGCCATGCGGAGAGTCAAATCCATGTTAAAATTCGACAGCATGTAAACAGCTACCACAGTTTTGCGGGCTGCCACTCCAAGGCCGGCACAGTGCAACCTTTTCCGTTTTTTGGCATTCTGCCGATAAGCCGCTTTCAGTGCTTTGCCGTTCTGCACCAAGGCTTCCTTCAAGTCTGACACCCTGGCATCAGATGTGCCTTCGGCCACACCACAGGGCGGCTGCATGACTGACCGCAGAAAAACTATCTGTCGGCAGACTCATTGAAAACATTCGTGTCATGTCAAACCAATGCTGTCTGATACAGCTGAATTCGAATGGAAGCAAGGAAGATGACCTAATGAGTGCGGCCAAAGCATGGCCTCGGCATTTCAAAGCATACAAATTCATGTCTGGCTCATGCAAAAAACAAAAACTATATTGCTGTTGCATGCAGTCAGCGCGGCAAGACTTGATTCATATGGCTGCGTCCAGGAAAAAACATCGAGGAGAGGCGACCTGTGAGGAGCAGGCAAGACCGAACAATGATGATGAGCCGTCCAATCATGTGGGTTTGTGTTATGACACTGTTATGGAAAATACACTGCTGGTTATCTCTCCACATCATGCAGGTTTGTGTTGTCACAGTATTATGGAAAAAAAATCTTTGTCCTATAGTGCCACCCACGTCTGCAAATCTGTTGGATCCACCCGGAGCGGCAGCATCAAAGAAAAAGAACCTTATACGCGTGCGCCATTTGGCGTCGCGCTGGCCAAACGCACTGCATCTGCTGGGGTGTCGGCCTGTCAGGCCCAGGCCAAGGCACCCCTGCACCCATCAAGTGTTGAAGCGCTTTGTGCACTTGACCTGGGCCATTGCAGCCCACTGCATCGAAGCTTTTCTGCCATTGCCGAGCTGCCCAAAATTCGTGAGGGGCTTGCATGCACTGCCATAGCCAGGCCAGAGGAGGCACTAAACCATGCTCTGAATATGAGCGCAACTCCTGGTGCTTCCTTTTCAAATATTGTTTAAAAGGGGAGAAGCCTTGCAGATCAAGCGGCTGTAGGTAATCCGTTGTCTGCGCTGGGATATATATAAGCTGCAGCTTGCACTTGCGTGCCATTGCCATGACCTGCCGTGGCAGGTGTGCCGGCGCACAATCAAGGAGTACAACGCCTTGTTTTGACGGAAAACTTTTCAGCACTTCTGCGATCTCTTTGAGAATTTGGGCACTGTTGGCAGCAGAGGTCCAAGCGGACTTTTGCCGCAAAACACGCAAACGAGTTTGTGGCAAAGCGCGCTGGGCGCGCAAGAGCTTCTTCGTGAGTTTCACCTGGGTGCCAATGAAAAAATGAGGCAACTTCCCTTGGATGTGCTTGCAGTTGCAAATCACGCTGACATAAGTAAGTCCACGCACCTCGAACATGTTGCTTCAGCACCTGTGCATGCGGCTGTTTGCCACCTGCTGTCCGTGGCTTTGCCACACATCCAATAGGCGGTGTCATGGTGTGGCCGACGCTAGTCTCATCCAGATTTATAAAAAGTAGCTCCCTGTCTGCGAGCCTGCTGTGGCAATAGCAGATGGCCCGCCAAAATGTCATGACCTGCTCGAGCGTTGCAGGAAGTGAAAGACAAAGCCTTATTATATATAGGGTCCCCAAATATAATTCCGAGGGAAGAAATTGATTGAAAATGGGGGCCTATTTTTGGTGCCAGATTCTGGCCCCAAAAATGGGACCGCCCAACCGGGATTAAGTAGGCTTATACAGGCATGAAACATGAGGGGGACCCATTTTTGGGGCCACATTCCGGCCCCAAAAATGGAGCCAGCCAACCCAAAAAAAGAAGACAAAATGTTGTAAGTTGGCTGGCCCGCGCCTTGTCGCGCAGTACAGCGGGGTCTCTGCTAACAACTTGCTTCAGCACCTTCCGGCGGACGCCCCACCGAGCCCGCCAGCGCTGCACCCACTTATTGACCATGCGTTTGTTTGGCACACCCATGTCCAGCTTCTGGCCATGGAAGGCCTCCTCCCACTTCAAAAACGTGTCCATCGCAGAAGGTGCTTGACAATGATTCGTATTGCAGTCATAGACCCACTGCTCTGTGGCTGCTTCGGCCAGGAAGGCTTGCGCTTTGCGTGAAGCTGTGTCATCCAAAGCGGTCAAATCTGGCAGCGGCGTCGTCAGCAACATCTCTTGGATCAAAGCTGCCGTGGGTACCCATTGCTGCCATAGGATATCGTTGTCAAAGCACAAGCCATGCGGAGAGTCAAATCCATGTTAAAATTCGACAGCATGTAAACAGCTACCACAATTTTGCGGGCTGCCACTCCAAGGCCGGCACAGTGCAACCTTTTCCGTTTTTTGGCATTCTGCCGATAAGCCGCTTTCAGTGCTTTGCCGTTCTGCACCAAGGCTTCCTTCAAGTCTGACACCCTGGCATCAGATGTGCCTTCGGCCACACCACAGGGCGGCTGCATGACTGACCGCAGAAAAACTATCTGTCGGCAGACTCATTGAAAACATTCGTGTCATGTCAAACCAATGCTGTCTGATACAGCTGAATTCGAATGGAAGCAAGGAAGATGACCTAATGAGTGCGGCCAAAGCATGGCCTCGGCATTTCAAAGCATACAAATTCATGTCTGGCTCATGCAAAAAACAAAAACTATATTGCTGTTGCATGCAGTCAGCGCGGCAAGACTTGATTCATATGGCTGCGTCCAGGAAAAAACATCGAGGAGAGGCGACCTGTGAGGAGCAGGCAAGACCGAACAATGATGATGAGCCGTCCAATCATGTGGGTTTGTGTTATGACACTGTTATGGAAAATACACTGCTGGTTATCTCTCCACATCATGCAGGTTTGTGTTGTCACAAGGAGGGCCCTCAATGAAGAGGGCTGAAATCAGCGTCCGTTAGCGACCCCAAATTCAGACCTTTTGCACACACAGCACGAGGCCCCACGTATAGGGTCACAGCAGCGGCTCCCCCCCCGCACCCCCAGGATCAATGTTGTTTCCTGGTGTTAATCACTGCAGCAGCCAACTTCCAAAGCGTCAGGTCTTCACAGCAAGACATTTTCGTCAACCTTGATTCCGGGGGGTGCAGGGGGGGGCCGCATGTGGCCGGAAAGGCCCTTTGAATTAGGAAGAAACACATGTGCCGTCACGGCAGGTGGCACATCACAGCTGCAAGATGAAATGCTTCACTGGCCGTTGGCGATGTCAATCTTTGCATTGGCTCCACTGCAACACTAGCATGCTTCGGTGTGAAACTACTAAGCACGATGTCACAACTTTATATTGGCTCTGCCGCAAAACTACTATGCTTCTGTGTGAAAACTACTAAGGGGAATTTCAAACTTTGTATTGGCTCGGTGGCAAAACTACTAAGGAATTGTTCAATGGACAAAAAAGGAAACACTTTCTTCTATTTCTTTTCAATTGGCAGAATTCCTTAGTAGTTTTGCGTCCAAGCCATTGTGATTTCAATTTCACGGGTTAGTAGTTTTTCATGCGTGCATGAGCTGTGACTCTGCCGTGCCAATGCAAAGTCTGCGAAAATGGTTGGAAGTATCCTTAGTAGTTTTTTGGGGCCACAGCAAAAACAGGTGCCAAAGCACGCAAAAACGTGTTTTTGATGCCTTGGGAGACAGCAGTCGTTAGGTAACCTGCCGCGTGTGACTTCACCACATTCCTGTCTGACTCCTTTAGAGACAGCAGTCTCAAGTGCTTCAGTGAGACATATAGTTTTGAGGAAGCTGCTGCTGACTCCTCGGGAGACAGCAATCACAAGTGCTTCAGTGAGACATATAGTTTTGAGGAAGCTGCTGCTGACTCCTCGGGAGAGCAATCACAAGTGCTTCAGTGAGACATATAGTTTTGAAGAAGCTGCTACTGCTGACGGGTCATTTTGAAGGCCAGGAGCCACGAGAGGTCTTGGGTGCTCAGTTTGCCCGCCGATTTCAGGACTCTGCGTCGTTTTTTCTCCCGGCGCAGAGCTGAAACAAAAAGATTGAAAGTACAAGTGGTGCGATGCAGGTGCAATGCAGCTTCACAAAAAAAAAACCTGAGATGGGAAAGATGAAGGTGCAAGTGGCACGATGGAATGTCAATACAGCTTCACCAACACAAACATGGCACACAAGGATGAAATTGAACCAGCCTGGGTCTTGACTTCTCGACTGGTTTGCTGCAGCTGGCGTTTCAAGGCCTGCCTTTCAGCTTTCAAAGCAGCTATACGGTCATCCATCCCGGGCACATGGGCTACAGCAGCACCTTCCGCAGCATCCCTTTCCATACCAGCGGCGGCAGAGGACATGGCTAGAGATATAGTCAAATTGTGTTTTCTGCGACGAGCTGTGAGCCGTGCTAGCTGCAGAAGCCATGCCGTCTGGACAGCTTCCATGCCAATTTTCTCAAACTGCACAACTGGAAGATAGTGTGACAAAACATGGCCGGTGGGGGCCCAAAACTGGGGGCTTGAAAAGTGATGCCAAAGGGACTCCCGTACCATGTACCCCCATAGTATATTAATATACACATATACATACCTGCTACTCTGGTAGCACACTCAGTAGTGTCCATATCCTGAAAGATAAGTAATTCAGGTAATGGGGCTATAATATGCTATAATTATTGTCCTGAATGCAAACTACCGTTCAAGCATTTTGGGCACCTTGTAGGTGATGGTTTGTTCCATATACCATTGTTGTTAATACATCGCGGCTATATACGATGATACAACAATGATATATACAATATCGTTTGCCCACCAACATCTATATAGGCAAAATGTTTTATCTGAGCTTCTTAAGCACGAGCGTGGGAGATCTAAATGTCTGGACACCCCCTTCAAAATTGCTATGTATAGCTGAACACCAAAGAACATAGGATGTTTGTGATCCATAAAAATATCAAAAAATATCAATTTCCCATCAATTTCCAAAATAGAAAAAAAACAACTCCAATGCAATTTGTTCACCAAATATATATATATATATATGGGTTCCACACATGGACGTAAAAACAGGTTCCAGGGGCGTTAAAACCCGTAAACCGTTCAGATTACGTTCAGATTACGCTCAAATTTCGTTCAATTGCGTTCAATTTCGTTCCACTTGCGCAATTTACATAATTAAAAGTTCGGAAAAATGTTTTAGGAGCCCATATTTGGTTCGCGTGCCGCCTCAAAACGAAGAGGAGAAAACACTAGATTCACACAAATTATCAACAACTAGTACAAAACTTCTGTCAACTATTTTTGCCAAATTTAAATGGTCATTATATATAATATATATATATATATATATATATATGTACCTGGATCCTCCAAATACCCCTGCAACCAACTGGTATAAGTAGTAACAGACTGGGGTAACTGGGAACACACTATTTTTATGGGTACTTGGAGGGTATATTGAAATTAAGAAACACAAGTTGATCGATTTATCTATATGTTTAAACGAAATGTGTGCCTGAAGCACAAGGCCACCAATCATTGGCTGTGGTTGGCAAGAAACAAATGCAAGAAACGGAGTTGTTTTTTCCATCTGAGGTAGGAGTTACGGTGCATTTCTGCAAAGCAAGCTGCGGGTGTATCTATGGGAAAATCCCCTAGCGTTATTGTTGGTTAAGGGGAGCTGTTCATGATGGATAATGATAATCCAACATCTCAAAAATAGATCAAACATGATCATTTTTTTCTCTCACCTCTGCACCTTTCAGGCAAGCATTTCGAAGTCGATAAATCTGTTCATTCCCAACCAACTGGCATCTTTGAACCTACGGTGCATTGCACCAAAACTACCATGGCATGGCCTCGTAGAGTGCTGATGAGCTGACTGAAGCGTTCCACTGGCACACCTTGTGGTAACTGACCTAAGTGACCCCCCCAACCCCAGGCGGGGAAGCAGATCATCTTCTGATGAAGATTGGAGTCAATACCACCATGGGATGGTTTCATATTCCATGATCTGAACGGATTTGCTGCAGAATTTCTGGTATGTCATTGCGGATGGTCTAGGGTTGTAGGTTTACCACCCTAAAATACACTCATCTACATTCATCAGAACCATCTAAAACCATCTAGAATCTAAAACATTCCTAAAACAACTCAATCTTGGGAGTTACACCCCTTGATCATTTTTGATCATCTTTGATCCCAGCCACGCGTCAGAAACTCCTGGTAGTCGCTTTGCGTCATCCACGGACTGCCCAAGGTTGCACTGATGATGCCAAAGAATGTGCCAACGAAGAGGTACGAGAAGCGCCAGGAGAGATAGGGGCCTGGTGTGAAAAACGCCGGGATGTTGAGGATGATGCCAGGTGAAAGACACATATGGATTTGTTTTAACGCAATATTTTTGTTCAAATCAAAGGCCTATAGTTCAAGTCGCCATAACAATCCATGGATGTAACGAAGCTGAAAGACTGTGTTTGGAGCTCAAACATGCTCTGAATCATCCATAATCATTTGACAATTGTATGGGGAGAGATGGGGGTGAGACGTGGCTACCCCGGCTACCCCAGCTACCCCAGCTATCCATTTGTTTTTTTGGCACAGTCAAGGATCATGGCTTTGGGCGGGACGGGAAAACATAAATGCTTACCACTAGTGCAACACGCTTTCGGGGCAAAAGATTCAATATGGGTCAAACGCAAACAACTATGTGGGGAAACATCTTTGGGTTGTGTTTTAATGTAAAGCTTACGTTGCCATGTCTAGCTCCTTTTCACAACATGGCAGGATCTCGCCTAAAAAGAAACGTTAATCACACCACAAACCCCATGGCTCCAATGTGCACAAACACTGCCAACACTCGACAACGTTGGCTTAAAACACTAACATGGCCTCCGATAACACCAATGTAGCCCCCAGAGAGCAACATTCAAAATCCGACTTTCCAATCCGATGTTCAAATCCGATTTCCCCCGCCGAAAAACCATCCAGCAACCCAGAAAGTAGCTCTACTTGCGGGTTTGTTTGTCTATAGCCACTGCAAAGTTGCCAGGGACTTTGATGCCAGAAAGAATCTGACCCATCACAGGAGCCTCTATAAGTTCTTTGCGCGCAGTTTTTGACAAATTGCCTTGAACTTCCCAGTTACATAGTCAAGTAAATCAAAATCACTGTGCCTTGCAAGACCCTGCGCTCATGAGCATAATCTATGTTTCAAAGCAAATCTGTTGGTATACTTCAGTTCTTGGAAAAACACCCACCCAGTTGGTGCTGCACTGGAATAAGAAGTCAGCATTACCTATCATAAATGTGACAGTGGCACAAAAACCTGCTCAAACAAGAGTTTTGTTGGTTTTGCGTCGAAAGGGGAGGGGCATTATATACGCATTGGGTCATTAGGTCTTGCTGGCCCTTCATAGAAGGTTCCATTCCCTACCCAATATTGTAGTCAATCCTTTCTGGCTCTAGAAGTGCAGTGTACAATAACAGCATGACATAATGACATAATGATGTGACCAGATCAAACTTGAATATTTTGCAATAAAGCCTCTGGTAATTTAACATAGCTATGGAAAATCACCATCTATAGTAGGTAAATCACCTATAAATGGGCCATTTCCAGAGGGTAAACCCTGATCAAACATCCACTGTCTCCATGATGTTGCCGATGCTTTGGGATTATCCATGGATCCCCAACCTTTTCCGCTCCAAGCCTACCACTCCAGACGGAAAGCTCTCCTCCGCATCTTGCTTCAGTTTCCTTGGTGAATGAAATGATGTCCGTTCATACAGGATAGGGCCCCCTCAGTCCCTTAGTTATAAGTCGGTTTATAAACCATTAATTATAACATATTATAACCCGCATGAATACTATAGTTATATATATGAGCGATTGTGAAAACCCTAGGTTCACGGAAAGGACATCCACAAATTTGGGAAGGTCCCATCGCTTACCACACGTTTGTACAATAATGATATATGGTAAACTTGGGGGGTATCGCTTGCAGGAAACTGCTGCATTTATATATATATATATGTGATGAACTATGAATAATATGTGATATTTGGGTATCACTAATGTGGATATTAGAGAAATATGATGACATAACCTTGAAAAGGGGTATCGCTAATTTGGGAAGGTCCCATCGCTTACCTCGTGGTTTTAACAATTTCCATCAATTTCCATAAACCAATGTCCGTCGAATACATATTTAGTATTGCCGGGGTTTTTACGGTTGCTCATATATATATATATATAAATAAATATATATATATATATACCTTCCATAAACCATAGAATTCAGCCACTGAAATAAGGCAACTGAACGCGAGCGACTGCGGGCCCCAACAACAGTATTCCATGACTCTCATGAAATCATCACATTGAAACCCGTCATTAAGGGGATAGTTGTCACAAGATCATTTTCAGCACTCCCCCATTTTACATCATTAGTATCATTAGTTAAATCATGTTATATCCCAAGAACATATGATGATTTATTTTTTACCCCATAGCTATATAAGTTACCCTCCAGAACATTAACCGTTCGACCCTGTCAGATAGGTTTTGGAAGATTAGTTTCCACTAAAAGTGGCCTATGTTCAGGATCTATGTTAATTTACCAGAGGTATTTTCCTGTTCCCACTATGTTAATGTTCTAATGTTCCATTTCATCCCCAGGTTACTGTTCCCACTATGTTAATTTACCAGAGCTATTTCCCCGAATATGGTAATAGGTTTTGACCCATATGTTCAATGAGAGTTACCCTCTGGTTTCATAAATGGAAGTTTTTCTTTCCTGGGAGAATCATCCATAAATATGTTTGTTAGCTTTTCACTTGCCACGTTTGATTTTTTCTCGGAGGGTATATCTTACTATCGGCGTTGGCCTCTTTATTTGGGCCTTTCTGTTTTCTGGCTTTTGGACCCAGGAACTGTTTGCAGATTTCCAGGAACTATTTGCAGAGTTCCAGGAACTGTTTGAAAAAACATGAATTTTATTGAGGGGAGTTATTGAGGGAAATATGATGATGAGTTAACAAAGGCTAGCTAAAGGGAAAACAACAACACAACACTTAAATTTAAATGCCCTCAAGTGCTGAGTCCAACTGATTTCAGCCCTACCAGTGCGTCCCCATTTTGGGTATATGGAAATGACAGTACTCATGAGTTATGGTATGGTATTTTGCGCATCCATAACATGCCAACATGTTGTCTTGCTAAACTTGGGAATCTCTTGTGTGGAAACAAGCACCCCGGGAATAAAAAATATCTTTTTGATTTGATAAATCAATCGGCCAATCATATCAAGAGCCATGCATGTCAAATATACCAGAACCAAAAAATCTGGTTCAATGAGCCAATGAATAAAAAACAGCACCAGCCGGCTTTGGTGCATCATGCAGCGGAAAAGATGCAAAATGCAAAAAAAAACATTTCCAGCCTTACTGAGCCATGGAAAAGTATCAAGCCAAAAAAAAAACAATTCACCTCCGGGTCGGCCAGAAGAAAACGCGGTGATTCAAATTTCGCAGGAGCAAAAGCCACAGCACCGAGGGACAAACCTCACCACCACCACCACCACCAGCAGCAGCAGTTCCAGAAAGGAAAGCCCGCCCCAAAGCGTAGGCCCAAGCGCAAAAGACCACCACCCGTGCCAGAAAGGCAAGCAAACCCCAATCTGAGACCCAAAACAAACAGCATTCCGCGTCCTGGGGAATGTAGCTAGTTTTACGGTATGTCTACTGCAACTGAATGTATGTAATTTGTTTGAATTTGTATGTCATGAGTCTTGTCATGAGTCAAGTCAACTCATGTAATGTCATGTCATGTCCATCATTATATGGTTGTTTGTTTTGGTTGGCTGTGTGCAAATGATTCCAAAAGATCAGTATCAGTATAATGCAGTAATAGTTCCTGGGATTCTAAAAATAGTTTCGGGGATTCTGTAAATAGTTCCTGGGATTCTACAAATAGATCCTGGGTAGCTATGGCCCCTAACACAGAAAGAGGCCAAAGCAATAAGTAAGGTATATCCATTTATATTTCATAAACCATCTGACGAAATATCTGTATATATATATATACAATGTGAGGCCCCCCAGTTATAAGTTGGTTTAAAAGCCCCAGTAACTATAGTTATAAGTACCATAAACCAGAGTTATTGGAATTTATAAACCAACTTAGTTATCTTGGGGGCCTCACATTATATATATATATATCTCTCTATCTATCTATCCCATAGCTAACTCTAAGTCTGGGCAAATTATGAGGCCCTTTTGGGATGATTCCCCGAATCAATTCACCACCTTCTTCCAGGCGCCCCCGGGCGAACAGGCTTCGGTCGTGATGAAATTTGCCCACATATATATATATATATATATATAATAAAATAATATAATATAATATAGATAATATGATAATATATATATATATGCATATATATATATGTATATATATATACATCCCATAGCTGGTTATACATTATATATACATACACATATATATATATATTCATCCATATAAATATGGGATATCCATTTGTAATGGTTATTTCAGATGGATACACTATAACCATTTATGTAAGATATACCCCATATATATATCCATAAATATATCATACAATCATATCCATATAACCATATCCTATATATCCATATAATCATAATTATTTTTTTGTGATCCTTTTTGGGAGGCTGTTTAGTAAGGAACCCTAACTTACTGACTGTTGCAATATTAGGGAAACACACAAACTATAAGCATATATCTCCAGGCATAGCTATATAATATCACATGCTGGTTGGTGGTTTCAACCCCTCTGAAAAATATGAGTTCGTCAGTTGGGATGATGAAATTCCCAACCGAATGGAAAGTCAAACAATTCCATGGTTCCAAACCACCAACCAGCTAAAATCATCCCATTAAAATGGCCATAGAAATAGTTGATTTACCCATGAAAAATGGTGATTTACCCATTTAACCACCAACCAGATAGTTACCCTCTGGTAAACTAACATAACTATGGAAAATCACCATTTTTGATGGGAAAATCCACTATAAATGGCCATTTTCAATAGCTATGTAACAAATTACCAGAGGGTATATAAGTGATATCTCCCCGCAACATCCCAAGTTTCCGCGCAAATTGGCCGCTGGTGGCTTCCGCCGCATCGTCCCAAAGCGCGTTGCGCAGGACGCCGTAGAAGAAGCTCAACACGCCGCACATCCCGAGGGACAAAACCGGGGAAAACGCAACGGCCCGGGGTCCGAAACGTGGTGAATTCTAGTGATTTCACCTATGAAAACCTAGGGAAAATGGTGGTTTAACTCAATGGGTTTTCAGGGGGTTTGGGTTGCTGATTTAAGATAGCTATGCGTTTGTTTAGTTCGCTAAACTATTGAGTAATATATATATATACATATATATATATATATGTGTCGAAGTAGTATACGATGGGGTTATGAACCAACTGACATGACACCAGTTTGTATATGGAGTATGAATTTGGTGGCTGCTTTATCTGGATTTTCTAGAGGTAATTGGGGGCATCTCGATTCATGAAGCATGGAGAACGGATGAAGTTTGGTTTATTGCATTTATTCCGGTTAATGATGGAGGGTTTTTTGATGATTTCTGACGTGATCAAAATTGATATTGCTTTTGAACATCTGAAATATATGAAACTATGATAAAATATTGTTCATTAATATGGTTCATGATAACCCATTCAACGACTCGTGTCGTTGTACCTTCATTTTCTGACGTACCAAACGAGGGTCACCAGTCAATCATCCTGCTTTGTCTCAGAATGGTGGATTATATCACATATAATATAACATACTGGTTGGTGGTATACCCCTCTGAAAAATATGAGTCAGTTGGGATGATGAAATTCCCAACTGAATGGAAAGTCGTAAAATTCCATGGTTCCAAACCACCAACCAGCATAATATATATATATGATTTGTGATATCTCTGAGTTCAAATGGAATGATATTTCGGTTCAGTCATGTTCAGCTGTTCTCATTTGAATGCATGAATCATTCCATTTTCCAGAGATTTCCAGCGTGGTGTATCTGCAAATGTTGAGCCAGCTCCAACGGCCAGATTTGTGAGACGTTATCATTGAATATTCTGTGACACCGTACGTTTATGTTTGAGTCCTTTTAAAGTGCTCTGCTTTGAATCAGTTAATTTGAAACTTCATCTCACTGGTGCTTAGTCGGGAATGGGGGAATGGGATGATTATCAATAGCTGTTATATAGATCATTCCCCCATTCCCTACTAAGCACCAGTAAGTCATTGATGTGTTTCACTTTCCTCACGTTCCTGACATTGTTCTTCACCATTTGGGCAAGTGCAAGGCCTCGTATAGTGGGGTTAAGAACTGCAACATCAGACAACCGCAGTTGTGTACACAACCTGAACATTTCCCGTGTTTTCCCGTACCTTCTCAAAAATAATGAAACATCATGCTGATTATGATAGACCCAATTTACTCTCAAACATGCATTATTCTTTGAGCATCCCATCAATCAAACAGCTCCCCAGCCTGCAGGGTAACACTGCCGTATCTCGCCGTTCCGACATACAAATGGCCTGAGAAGTACATGACGTGGGGCCCCGAATTTGATAACTAAGTTGGTTCACTACAATAACTGGGGGTTATGCGGGATATATCTGTAGTGAGCAGGGCTTATAAATCAACTTATCACCTTTGGGGGCCCCACGTGGTGTAGAGATCATCATCCCCAATACATAACACCACTAACCCTTTGGTAAACTCAGATTGCTATATTGCTATAATATGGAACATAATGAACAATAAGAATTGTCTATACCATCTGGTTATTAAAATAGCCATGGAATATCCCTTATAAATGGAGGTTTTTATGGGAAAATCATCTATAAATGGGCCATTTTCCAAAGCTATGGCTACCACAGGGTACCCTGTGGCAAGAAAAATCTGTGGTCCACGTAATAGTCACCTCAGATTCCACTATTGAACTATTGGACTTCACGATGATTTCAGGTGGTGAATGCTATCTTTTTATGGTGGTTTAATAGGAAAACCATAGGAAAATGGTGGTTTAAAGACTTTTTATGGTGGTTTAATGGGATTTCATTGGGATTTACCATCTGGTAAACATACAGAAAACTATGGAGAATCACCATTTTTAATAGGTAAATCAACTACAAACGGGCCATGTTCAATAGCTTTGGCTTTTGTATGTTTACCAAAGGGTAAGTATACCTGGATGATCCAGACATGGTCAAAGCCTTTTCTTCCGATGTCTCTTTCTGAGCCATGCCCTACTTACTTGGAATATCTAACTCTATGTATGTATATATATATATATATATGTACTATAATATATTATATATGTATATACAGTATAAATGATATGTTTTAAATCTAATATATATATATATAAATATACACAATATTCACCAAACCTTATTCCAACCCAAGAATGAGCCACTTTGTTGCCTACAGCTGTCCTCCATCACTGCCGGTCAGTCTTTTCCATGCTTTATCGGCAACGGGTCCCCACCTTGTAAAGGATCATCATATCCCCACTGTGTCTGTATGTATGTGTATATATATATATGATTACATAATATTATAGTATATATTGAACACCCCCCAACGAAACCATAGTTGTGTAGAGATTTACACGTATAACTGGAACCTTTTGGGGGTGTGTTTCATATTAGGGGGATGGGATTATATCCTCTCTATCGATCGATCGATCGATCGAACGATCGAACGATCAATCGATCTATCTATATATCTATTTATCTATCTATCCATCTATCCATCTATCCATCTATCCATCTATCCATCTATCCATCTATCCATCTATCCATCTATCCATCTATCCATCTATCTATCCATCTATCCATCTATCCATCTATCCATCTATCCATCTATCCATATCTATCATCTATCCATCTATCCATCTATCTATCTATCTATCTATCCATCTATCTATCCATCTATCTACCTATCTATCTATCTATCTATCTACCTATCTATCTATCCATCTATCCATCTATCTATCTATCTATCCATCTATCTATCCATCTATC